AAGGGTGCCCTGATTCTAGTATGCTTACGGGGGCTACCAAGACAAATGCACTAACAAAGCCTTAAGGTCACCCTGCAGAACAGAGCTTCGACTCAGTCATCGACGGTCCAGTGAAGTTGTTGGATCAGGTTCGTGACACCCGGGCCGCATTTGAGAGGATTTGAGAGGTGTTCGGCGCCCCTTACATGCAAGGCTGGTGAGAGGCTTGCATGCAAGGCTGCGAGCTCTTGGCATGTTTTGGGCACAGTCCGGGACTTCTGACGGCAGCTACCCTAAACTTCCATTCCTTAATTATGTGTTGGCCTGCGCCGAGGAAACATCGCAGCCGCTTGTTTCAGTTCCAGACTCCTACCCAAGAGGTTTGGATATATCTGGCGAGAGGCTTCAAATCGACGTCGTCGAGGAGGTAGGCACTGTGTGTTCAACCGTTTTCAGCGGCCCCTCACTAGCAAGAATTCGCAAACAGATCGTCTTCATTCGCAGGAGGAGAACTCAGACGGGAGCGCTCCCATGCACCGCGACGACAGCACCCCCTCTGGAGTTTCCGACTCTGGGAATACGAGTCCGAGGTTAACAGGTGACTCACACTCAAGAGCTATCAAACACGAAAGGGGTGCCCTTTACAGTGAGGTCTGTCAGCCCGACTCGCTGTCCAGGCGACCTGAAATTCTTTGGCGTGGTGTCGGAACGGGATTCTTTGCAGGAGACTCGCTTGCAGGTGCTTCTGGATCGCAGCTTGGCCGAGATTTCAGCCTGGCATTCCACTCCACGGAAGGGAGGGAAGGGCTCAAGCCCCCCGGGCAAGCAAGTGGCAGATGAGTCATGCCCAAGGTGCTCGACCATACCTCGACCACCTTGCCGGGTTTCTGGTGATAGCGAATACGCTGCTTATGCTCTCAGGCGGCATTGCGGCACCGTTCTCAACTCCAGAAGGATGCGCGCGGCTATAGTGGAGCATTCTTGCGCTGGTTTCGTGTTTTGAAGCCCTGTTCTGATTCTGTTGTTGAAACCCTCCTAAAAAGGAGGAGAGAGAGGCTGCATTTGTTCCAAAACATCTCGGATGTTGGGTTCTCGTTTAGGTTCAAAACGTGAGAGAGCGATACCGGGGAATGGCGGCGCGGGGTGAAAGCGAAAACGGGGATGAAAACGAAGCGGGGATGAGAACGAAACGGGTGATCAGAGCCGCGGGGTGAAAACGAAACGGGGATGAAAACGAAAGGGGGATGGCGTGGGGAGCAGAAGGGCCGGATGCGAAACGGGTGAAAACGAAACGGGGATGGCGCGGGGATCACGACGGCGGGACGAAAACCTAACGGGGTTGAAACCAAACGGGGATGAAGATGACACGGGCATGGCGCGGGGATCACAACGAGACGGAGCGAAAACGAAACAGGGTGGCACCTGCGGGGATGAAAACCAAAACAGGGATGAAAGCGAAGCGGGGATGAAAGCGCAACCGGGAGGGATCTTCGTTGAATGTATTACGGACTGCGGCGCGTACTGCGGCGCGGGGAGCTGAGGGATTTTCGTTGAATAGTACACATTCTTCATAGTTTACTCTTTAATGTTTTCACATACATACATACATATATATATATATATATCCACATACATATATATTTATTTATTAGATTTTTTATTTAGTTGCGAATTTGTGTTGTTTTGTCCTTTTGATATCCTTCTTTAAGGATCAGGGATCCAAAATGATGAGTTCTGGACCGGGTACAACCAAAGCCAACACGCAGTCTCAGTCGATACGCTTCCGACAGACACGCCGTAACATGAGGGTTTTCGCTTCAATTCGTCAACTACTCTGCGTCGCCTTATTGCCTTCTTATACTCTTCTATAAAATGTGCATACGGAATGGATGTTAAAGTGGGGGTTTCGCTCCGGCAGTGTTGTCATTCGGATTGTTTTTGGGTTCCTGGCTTACGTTGTTTTTTTTCTTCCAGGGTTCGGGCATCTAAAAAGCATGCCATTGCAAGCTCCAGATTCCTTCAGCAGGTGTCCAGAATTCTCCATTACCATCTGGGAGTCTAGGCGTTTGGCCCTTTGAGAGTACTTGAGCCAACCGGTTTGGGGGTGCGGACACCGGAGTGAGGGGTTGCCCAGCCGAGGTTTGTAGAGTTGGAGGTGAAGGGCCGATCTGCCGCGGCGCACATCGGCCGTGATGAGGGCTTCAACGAGTTCAGCGCCTCGAAACGCAAGATGTTTAGGGTTTAGGGTTTAGGGTTGAGGGTTTAGGGTACCTGAAAACATCTTTGTGGCTGCGCTTTTTTATCAGCCAGCCTCGGCAACTCCATGCAATGCGTAGCTTCGAGGGCTGTTTCACTTCTGCATCTGACATGAAGCAGGCCTGTAGCATGAACGGGCCACTTTGACCCGCGGGCTGCCAAAAAAATTGAGGGACGCGGCTGAGTTAAGGCTGCTAGTACACTGTGAGCCATATCCTTCAAAGCGTGATTGCCATGAGATGTCTCAGGTCATGATGATTACGCTCAGTCATTTCGAGCGCAGCTTGGGGCAAGAAGCCAGCATTTTTGTATGTTTGTTTTCTTAATTTTGCGCGCCCCCGTCGTAGTAAAAGAGATTAAACTAGGCATTGAAGTTGGGATGTTCCCCCGTTTACGAACAGTCCTTAGTAGGGATAGTTATATAGGGACTATAAAAGTAAAAGGGGGGACATCCCAACATTGAAGTGTAGTAAGTGTTGTGCAACGAATAGGCTGCAGCACGGTACCCAGCAACAAAAGCTCAAGGGATCTCTATTGCGGAAGCTTTGTCTTGTTTCAGATTGTGATCCAAGGTGGGACATCTTTTTTGACGTTGCCTTTTTGATCGAGTTGCTGATTCGGATTTTGTGCGAACGCTGGGAATACTTCCTGTGCCCTGGTGTGGAGCTTATGCAAGTTCGGTGAGCAAAGGAAGTCACAACTTTTTAAGCTTCGAACGGGCTCCAGAAAGATCCCTTTTTCGCGTTTTGCCGTCTTCGCTCCCTTCCCCTGAGTGTTGGACGTCGTCGGCCCCGCGCAAAACCGTAAAAGTTTTTGGTTTCGCTATTTTCGGGATGCGAGCGCAAACTTAAAGTGCCCCCACCGCGCGCTGTTTTGCAAAAAGCATGTGCTTGCTCGCGTATAAGGGCGCAAACATGCAGAAGTGCTCCCGGGGGGTAAGCGTGCCTATATCTTTGTATACATATGCGTACTCATATAATCCAATGCATCTACACACACATATGCCTTCATCGCCCAACCAAAAGACACCACCATCGGTCATCCGATCTTTTTGGCAGGTGGCAAGAAATATCGCACAACCAGTAGAAAATGCCCCGCACCACTAGCGGTTATCCGATCTTTTTGGCAGGTGGCAAGAATGCCCCGTAGTTAGTCTTCTTCGGATCCCTGTTCGACTTTAAGACAGGTTCAATTGGGTGAATTGGGTGTGAGGCGTTCGGTTGTCCTGTGTTCTGCCATTTGAAGGGATGATGGATGGTGAGACCATCTGTTCGCAGGTAGCTACCACACGGGCAGCGCTTGTTTTCACGGTCAATGGAAAGTTATCACACTTACTACGACAATCTACAATCATGTAACCTTCAGAGGAGTATCGGAGTATTCGTGCTGGGGCAATACGGTCTCAACCCTCGTCTCGGTTTGAACGTTCCTATGTGGGGTCTCCGTCCGCGACGTTCGACGCGCACTCGGCGGAAGTTGCATGGAATTTCTGCGGATGCCGCGCGGATGCCCATGACGTCGATGCCAAGGTCTGGGCCTTTCCTTTTGAGTCCGTGCTCTTGCTTTACGTCACATTAGGGGTTCATAGAGGGGCTGGTGAGCATGCAGCCAGATTCTGTTGCGTAGTAACTAGTAGTACTTTGGTGCTTTTGGACCGAGCCATCTTCTGCAGACTTAGCGGTCTGGGAGTGTGCCTGTGCAGCCTCTGCCTGAGGGCCGTCTCCAATTGGTTTGACATTTTCCTTGTCCTTGCTGGCGTCGCCGACATCGCCATGGTGGTGACGGTGCCAGATCATGGGGAGTGTCATGACAGCGTTTAGTCTTGATTGCAGTGAGAAGTTCAATACCTGTCCACTGATCTGTACCGATATCTTGTGATTCCCGTCTAGGGCAGTAGCACAGCGCGGGTTCAAAAAAGGAGTGTGGGTACAGTCAAAACTTGAGGCTAGTGAAGGCAATGGGCTGATGGAGTTAGGGGATCCCTGACAAAATCGCAACATGTCTTATTGTTATATGAGTGGCTTCATAGGCTGTACCATGGCACAAAATCCAAATCGAGACATGGTCCGGAAATCCGACATCCTGTTTCGAGTCATTCTCGAAGTTTGGGGCTGGACTGACTGGAGTGACTCCCTTCACTAGGTGTTGGCAGAAGGAGGGTTTAGGGTTTATATATAGGGTTTAGGGTTTATGGGGGTTCAGGGTTTAGGGCTTAGGGTATGGGGAGGGTTTAGGGCATGAGTGAGGTGTTCCTTGGGTCTGGAGCCAATGGCCCCTGCACTGCTCCACATGCTTGCCGCCAGGTTGTTTGCAGTTTACGTCATTCGCGTTATGTTTGCGTTCCGGGCCTTACGACTCTTGGCCTGCATCTTGCGCTGGCCTTGCAGATGTACAGCTGTGTGTCACGATGACGATGATGCCTGTAGCAGCTGTGGCAGCACAATTGGGATGCATCGGGCAGTAAGTTCCGAAGAGAGCTCAAGGCCTGAAGCGTCGAAGCGTAGCTTAGACACTCGAAGTCCGCTGAGAGTCTTTCGGAAACAGACCCTTATAGTCCCCTATAGCAGCCCAAGCATTTGCCGGGCAAGGAGCCTGTGCTTTGTTCAAGGGCCTTCGCATCTTGGCTTCAAAGGCAGGAGTATGCCCGGCAACGGGTCAGCCACAATACAGTTTTCCCTTAGCCCAGTACCCCTCTTGCACTGATGTCTGCCTGAGGCTTGCTTCTTGCGGCATGCCAGTCCTTTTTGCCATCACTGCTTTGGTCAATGGTCCTGCTACTTGACGCTTGGCGTGGGAGCGAAGAGGCTGTTGAATAATTGCTGTTAATGGCTGCGGCACTCTTATCAGATATGTGGGACAACTGGTTGTCTGTTCAGTCTTTTCGCGCAATCTGCTTTCGAGATCTTTGAGCATACCTTATGTGATGTCACTGTGAAGCTATACAAATCGTTTCAGAAGGTCGTGTCCTATCAGGTTGTGCCTGAAGCTTGGTGCTGCGAAGTAGCCAACCTCGCCCTGCAGCCATGAGTGCTGTGGTGTGGGGACGAGCTGAGCAGTAAGGGCAGCAGCCGAGTCCCTTGTGAAAAAAAAACATGGCCGCGGCACCATCGTCTGTCAGAGTCAGGTCTTCATGTCTGCTGGCTCCCTCGCAATGGGCAATCTCCTGCAAGAGTTCATCGCCACGGATTCAAATGTTCTTGAAGATCGAGAGTGGATTTGGATACACTACGGCACAGCTTACCGCTCCCTCTACACACTCTATGAGCGACTTTGATGGCAATCAGTTGAAGCTCCTTTCTTTGTGGGCCGATGTACACTCAACCAATGCCTCTCCTTGTCAGATGAGACAAAGACGCCCCTCATTGTCTTTCTGAGTAGCAAGGGCACCACCACGGCAACTGTCGCGCGACCCGGAAACAGGTCGCTGCACTTGCCGAGTCGGGAGACAGGGTGCAGCCAAAAATTTCGCGCGAGCTAAGGATAACTTTCGCAGGTAATTGGCCGACCAAAGCAAGACCAGTGTCTGGTTTGCACTGTGCGTTGCGTTATTTCGCCTTCTTTTGCTCTTGTGGCTGCCAATGATCCAGAGAGCATTCAATGTTGAAGGGTGCAAGTCCAAACGGCGTGAAGAGAACATCTGTCGCAACATCCTTAAATCTCAAGAGAAGAAAGAGCTTTCAGGACTTAGAGTAGACCCAGCGCTTGGAAAACCTTGGTGGTATGCTGGTTTGTCCGGCAGTCGTTGAGAGCCACGGTGGACTTACGCGTCTCGAAAAGTTCAGGTCTTGGACAAGGTGAGCCATGCCTTCGTCGTTTTCTTCGTTCTGCATCTGGACTGCGCAGAACAACTTGGCAAGAACCGGTAGCACAAAGTGACGTGAGTGTTCCAAGCGGTCATGGCAAAGGGTTTGCTGCAACTTAAGCGCAGCCATGGTGGAAACCCAGGTACATCACCCTGATTGTTTTCGCGGTCATCCGTGTGGTCACCGCTGTTTTTTTGAAGGATACCCTGGAGGCTGCACAAAACGATGCGGAACTTCAGATGGTGAATCAGATGAGAGTTTTGGCCAGGCATGTTGGAAGAAGTGTTGTTTACATGAGTTGTTCAGTGTGCACAAGCTTACAGTAGAGGGCCGGATGGTGAGGCAATGTACCACTTGGCTAGCTCTCCTGTCGAGGGGGTAGACTGGCACTATGCGATTAGCTGTCAAGGAAAGAAGGCCGAATACATCAAGCGCCTCGAGCGGGCTTTTACCAGCATCGATGCTGGTGGAAATGGTATGATCACGGAGGAGAGGCTCATTGACCCTTCACCAGCAATTATGAGGCTTGCATCTCAACCGCAGAACAGGTGTGCGATGATATCGCTTACGTATTCACACAGGCGCATGGCCGCCGACCCCCCCCCCCTCCCCCCCGCTTTCATTTAGTATGCTCGGGCATGTTCATTCGTTCCCCGACCTGTGTGCTGCAACAGCATGTGTGCCCAACCTGCTCAGTCGCTGGGTGGGCGAGTCTGCACCATTCTGCACCCCAATATGATCCACTATCCCTATGCCATTGAGGTCTCCTCCACCTCGAGGGGATTGGAGGGGCCTCCAGGAAGTTTGCAGGGCGTTCTGCACGGGTGTAGCCATGGGAGAAGCCATCTTTCGAAAGATGATACTCCTAAGTAGGACAAGGCCCATGCACTGATGCACAGCTTCTTGGGGCTTAAATTTTAGGCATAGGGACGCCAGGGAAACCAACCGCGCTGAAACCCGGACAATCTGGAAGCGGAGTGTCGGGGTTGCTTTGAAGCGTCCATAAGCGGCTCGGCTGCGGTCGAACGCTGCAGAAGCGCCCGGGGCGGCGTACTCTTCATCTGGCTTCGAGGGCCCGCTTGCTTCCACGGAAAGCAGTGCAACTGCCTCCAAGGTCAGTTGGACCTGCCTCTTGAACTGTCGGTTGTCGTTTTTGTTTACTGGGGCCTCCCACGTGGCTGCGGGCTTGGGGGCCCCCCGGCATGAAGAAGGGTGTGTTGCTCCAAGATGAGCTGGGTCAGGTGCGCCGAACCGGCCACGGCGGTCAACGCCTTGGCATCATCTGAGCCACACTCAGCAGAGTGACACATCTAATTGCCGTTTGGATGCTCGGTGTGCTTCGGCCACAGGCTCAGCAACTGCGCAGCGGGAGGGTTGTCAGGTTGTGCCAGACAGTGTCGCAGGCCCGGCACTGTACAGACTTTGATAGACTTTGGCCGACTTGGCTGACGACCTCAAACTTTTCTGATCAGTAGGAGAGCCTGTGCTTCCAGTACACGATGCTGGATTGTTGGCCCTTCAACTGGCTTGGATGACGTCCTGAGTTTGGATTTTTTGAAGTACGCATGCGCACTTAGCCTTGCACACAAAAGTCACTGAAGCTTTCGGTGGCATGGCGTCAGCGACCTTTTGACGACCTTTAGCCCGCCTGGCACTTGCACTGCACTTTATGAGCCTTTGCTTTTGAAGACTGCCACCGAGTCATATCTTCCCCCGGAAGAAAGCATGCAAAGTGCACGTGCGTCTTGGCGCATCAGGTGATGTAAAGTGGCTTGTGCACTCGCAGGGATTGGCCGAATCACTGCGTCAAGAACGACAGTGGCACATGCAGCAACGGAAACCCCACTAACGCAGCTCCATAATTTCCTTCCATCTCCCACCTCCACGGCAGAGCATGCCTGCCAACAACGGGACCTGCATGCAAGCTCTAGTCGCCTTGCCGAGTGCGAAGTGCCTGCCTCTGAGGCCTGGCTTGAATGCGAAACTTGCTAGATCTGCGGTTGTCCAAACTCTCTCTCTCTCTCTGTCTCTCTCTCTCTCTCGCGCGCTCTCTATGTTTCTTCTTGCGTGGGTGGGAAGATTCCAGTCCAGACAGGTGCATGGACTTTAGAGCCTTGGTTTGCCTTGTGCTCTGAAAACAAAGCTGGCGCTCGCTGCCCGAACCATGCCTGGAACTGTCTTTTGTTGACCTCAATGGTCTGAGCCGGCGGCTTTGTCATGTTGGAAAAGAATGAAATCCTGTTGGATGTAGCTTGTGTCCTGGACATCATCAGGATCTTGAGTAATGCGTGTTGGACGTGGTTCCTTGATTACACCAGTTCCTTGGTGTGCCCCTTGGACATGGTTCCCTGCCTTTCACCCTGGGCAGCACCTCGAGCAGCGCCTCTTGCACACGGTCACACGGTTGGTTGAAAAGCAATAGTTTGTACCTTTGCTGCGGAAATCATCGTGGTTCACGGTCACCGTGGCCTCAGGAAATTTTGGCCCACGAGAAGGTCCAGGCGTATTTTGAGACCTTGGACTTGGATGTGCATGCACCTTTGCCGCACTTCATCCCAGCTGTTCCGGGCTCAGTGCTAGGTGGCGTAGATGCTGGCAAGAGCTGTCAAGACCCTAAACGCTAAACCAAGATGGGTGCAGCTCATGCACAGCTCGCTGATACTTACTTGGAGAACAGATGCTGGCGGGGAGGTGGTGCCCCATTTCCCCACCCCCTTGAGCCTCAACCAGCATGCCGGGGACAGTGAAAAACACAAGTGGCTGGCTCTTTCAGCTGCCAGTTATGCATGTTGGGGGGCGGGGGGGGGGGGGGAAAAAGGGAACCGGGGGAAGCGGGGGGAGGATTGCATAGTATGCATTTAGCCCACTCAGCTGCCGAACGCAGCTGCGAATTTGCATGTTTGATCATCCCTAATGACGCGCTGAGATGGGGGCGGAGATGGGGGCGTGGTCCAAGCGACAAAGCGACAAGGCAGAGAGCACCCATGCCATCCATCACCAGCAGCAGCACCGGCACCAGCAAGTCGAGAGGCACCAGGGAAAGGGGGTCGGGTTGTGGTGGGGGGGGGTCGCAAGCGAGAGGGAAAAGATAAGGAGGGGGGAGGGCGGGGAGGGGGGAGGGCGGGGAAGGTAAGTGGGGCAAGTGGAGCACGCAGGGCAAGGGCAAGCAGGCTGGACAAGTGGGCAAGTGGGCGCAACGATTTACTGCCCCCCCGGCCCTCAACGTTCATGTTGACTCTGGTTTGGTTCGTCTGGGTTAAGAGGTTCACTTGGGTCCAGCGTCTTTGTCCCAGAGGTCAGAGTACTACCTAACTCAAAAGTTTAAACTTGTAAAGCCTTCTGATTTGGCCGAGCAAGGACAGCTAGCCGTCATGTAGCGGAGCGCGTTCGTGCAGCCAAGGAGGGTGCCGCTCTCTTCCACATCTTGGACAATGGGGATGGACAGGCCATGTATATTTTCCGACGGTACAGGCATGAGCCCGAAGTAAATTGCACTGTGGATGGCACATTTTCATAGTCAGAAAGCGACCAATGATCAACAATACAGTGTATACGGACATTGCCATGAGACGCGCTTTGAATTGCTGGCTTCAGAGCATGGCCAGGTAACGCTGGACGAATTCATAGCGGGCATCATGAGGTGCAGAGGACAGCATCAGACTTGCAGCACGAACTCGTTCCTGTCTTGCTTTTGCAAATTTCGGCAGCGGCATTCTTCAGTGTTTCAAGGTCCCACCGGTTGGATAAATCATTGGGTCGCGTTGTTAAACCAACAAATAAGAAGCAACAGCACTTCTCATGCGTAGGCAGGGATGGGAAGTAGCTGGAGTAGGTGCGTACCTGACAAACCTGACTGACAATGTGAGATAATGTGAGCATATTCAGGTCGTGTGTACGGAGGACTATCGGCTTTTATCAGAACACTCGACAGGTAATTTTTTTTATGATAGCGGCGGTGTAGGCCCGTCTGCCGCGCATTCAAAGTGCTGGCATTAACCGTGCTTGCCGCTTCCGAAGCTTTAGGAACTTCAGACATGTGTTGATGCTGGCCGCCTTGCAGGACCAGCACGAGCAATCGACCAAGTCGCAATGCACGCAGAGCTGAAGCAACTTGTCGAAACATCGCATGTGAGGCCTTCTGTAGACACCCGCCCTGATGTTTGTGATGGTGTTTGTGCGGCGTTACATAAAGTTCCACAGTTTGAATGGAAACTTGGGCGTGAGTGCGTTGAGCGCAAGCAAATTCATACCCGGCTTCGTCAAACGACAGAGATCACAGGTGCTATAGGCCCTCCAACATTCTTATCATGCAAAAGTAGACCCCAAGTGCTGCTGAACGACCACACTTCGTGCATGAGGCAGCTGGACATGAAGCTCTCAAGACTGTTCCGGTCCATGCAGCATTCTGACGAGTCCTTTCAGTCCTTTGTGCACGACTCGACCTCCGCATCCTTGGACTCGTTGGGTTTAGGGTTTAGGGTTTAGGGTTCAGGGTTTAAGGTTTAGGGTTTAGGGTTTAGGCAGGGGTTGCCGTTTTCGAGTTTGGGAATCGTGGATGTTGGGGATGAAGTTGGCCGCACCTTACATCGCGGGTGGAAACTTAAGACAAGGCTGTGTGCCAGGACATCGATCTGAATCTTTGACAAAACTTGGCAGCGCAACCGCAGCTTTTGTTGTCTAGATGCAGTTCCAAGGTACAGGCACATCTGCGGAAAATCCATGAGTCCGTTGATCCGACCCACTTCTTGCGCCGGGGAAAGTCGACGGCAGCGGCAAAGTAGGGTGGGCTGTCGCACAGCGTGGTGTTTGGAGAAGGCGCCATTTCCGACTTCCTCATCTCAACAAAAGTTCTTGACCATGCATGGAGGATGCGCGAGCATGCCGCATGCTCATGTCTGAAGGGTGCGCACAAGTGCACAAAGTGCCAATGTGGGGACACCTGATGCCGCTATCCAAGCGAACAACGCAGTTTGAACACGGAGTCGCCGACAACCTACGGGATTTTTAGACAGCAGTTTCTCTGAATCGCCTCCCCCGAAAACTAAGAGGGGTCTTCCCCGCTCCGCCCGCTCAATGTTGAAAAGAGTATTTAAATAATGTTTGGGCTGGGCTTGGGTGTTAGGACTAGTTCAAGAGGAAGCTCAGTTTCGAAGTTTGAGCATGCGGTCATAGGTATTGTGATGCAAGCAAGTTTGATCTTCGCAGAAGCTTTTTAGTCTTTAGGGGGAGCGATTGTTCGGGACCTTCGCAGAGCAAGGGTCCAGTCGTTGTGCTTTGTTGCCGGGGTGCGACGATGATGTCCCAGACCTGACGTTCTGCTCATTCCTAGCATGTCGAACTGAACTCAGTATGCAGGCAGTTCTTCTCCCGCCTCCCGTCTTCGCACCGCAAGAGCATGGTTATTGAATCCTGAATGCTTCAGGCAACTTTAAAAGCCACACGAACATGTTGAAGAGTATGATGGCAACCTACGCAACTTAGGGCAGCTACCAGCTTAGAATCATCTTGAGGGGCTATCAGAACAGCTCATTTCTCTGGCCTGCCCTTACAGGGTACGCTTCAAGTCAAGCTTCCAGACAGCGACTGGTACATCCGTTTGTGGTGAGCCGTAACAGCTTCAGCGATTC